CTGTTGAGCTCAACAACCTTGTAGCAAGTTGTCAACAAGCTGGGAACAAGCAGTGCGAACACATCCTGTTGACAAGTTGTTGGAACAGCATTGCTACAAGTCTGCTGCAGGTTTGTTACAACTTGTGCGTTTTTACGTGTGCAGGTGCGGCACATTAAACGCTTGATGTTTTACAATATGGGTTCTGATTGGACACTACAAGCGTAAAAATCTCACATCTTATAGCAAGTCTGCTAACCAGTTGTCAACAAGTTGTGTTCGCACTGCTTGTCCCAAGTTGTCAACAAGTTTGGAACAAACTATTAACAATCTTGTTGATATTATCAGACTTGATTTGCTGTGTTGGTGTTGTGTACTCATATTCACCTGAGTACACAACACCAACACAGCAAATCATGATTATTATATTACATTGATATCGATGGAACTAGACTCAGTTCTGAAATATCACATACTCGAACCAACCTGACTGCGTAGCTCAGTTGGCAGAGCATTGAGCTTAGTATTCCAAAGGTCGTAGGTTCGATTCCCACCGTGGCCAGGCATATTTTTCAAGCTTGCCCGGTGTGGACACTCTCAGAGTAACATCACAAACATCATTATCAGACTTGTTGTAAGGTTGTTCCAACAAGTCCGATACAGTCATGATATAGCAATATTGTTACAACCTTGTGTCGTCAACTTTGTACGCAACATTGTTACATCATCGACTGTATCAGACTCGTTAGAACAACCTTGTAACATTCTTGTTATATCATGGACTGTATCAGACACGTTAGAACAACCTTGTAACATTCTTGTTATATCATGACTGTATCAGACTTGTTAGAACAACCTTGTAACATTCTTGTTACATCATGACTCCATCAGACTCGTTAGAACAACCTTGTAACATTCTTGTTATATCATGGACTGTATCAGACTCGTTAGAACAACCTTGTAACATTCTTGTTATATCATGACTGTATCAGACTTGTTAGAACAACCTTGTAACAAGTCTGCCGTCAAACAATAATGCCATCATGCTTGTTACAAGTTGTTAACAGCTTGTCCCAAACTTGTCACAACAACTGGGAACAAGCAGTGCGAACACAACTTGTTGACAGCTTGTCAACAGATTTGTAACAACTTGTTTGCAGACCTGTAACAACTTGTGCGTTTTTACATGTGTAGTATCTACTTGGTTTCATACAACCGGCCTCAACACAAGACGTGAGATTTTTTAATGCGATGCGTTATATTTACATATCATGGGTCAGTCACGTGTACGCCATTACTATTCTCACGAATGGAACAAACACACCATGGTTCGGTTCGCTGAAATAAAAATCAATCATAACAAACAATGAGAGAAGAGAACAAAGGATGATCCTTACTGGACTCTAGGGAGAGCAGTTTGGTACTAGTTCAGCTATCCTGTATAAATTATGGACCAGACGGAATTTGAGATATTTATCTTACCATTTGAAAAATCTTTGGCCATTAAATGTTCCATCATGTTTGCCAACTACAAAAGAAACAAACGTTATCAACAAGAAGTCCACTGCAAAATTGAAATATTACGTCGAACAACACAACTATAGTAATATTTTTATTTGTTTTGTCGCATTTGTAATTAATAATAACCACTTCACATTATGCTATAAAAGACGGCTGGCTAGCACTTCGTTTTCTAACATACATTAGATGTTCCTGGATAACATATAATTCTGCTTTTCAAAACTTACCTGCATCATGCAGTTCCAGGCCAACATACACGTTGTCTTCTTTATCAGGTAAATACCCAATATATTGAACTATTCCCTTGCATAACTTTCCGAGATGTCGGCTCACTAATACAGTCATTCCTATGTCAATCTGTTGAGGGGTGTCAGGGGCGAAGGGGATACCTTTCCCAGGACTAGGTCTTCGCTCGGAACATGGGGAGGGGTCAGGAGAGGTGGGGGAGAAGTCTACACGATGGCCTGTGAGGGTCAGGTCCCTGGTCTGGGTGGAGGTTGTAGATCTTGAGTTGAGATGATCATAGGAACCTGCAATAATTATTACACTGTTAACCTTTGATGTTTGAACTGCTGGTATCCAGTGTATGGGATCAGGATTTTGAGCAGCTCACACAAGAGAGCTAATTGTTGAAGAGATTTGAAGATAAAATTTGCGAGTAGAATTTTTATACAATTTTTACAAAGTCAGTCAAGTTTTAAATTACCTGAATGATGTAAACGTGATCTATCTTTGCTTCTTCTGTCCAGCTCTTGACTTCCTCTCTCCTGACTGGGTGAGATCTTACTACTCTGTGTCGCGTCTAGAAACTCGTTTCTGATGGCATCTGAGCTGCGACTGCGCTTTGGAAGCAAATACGTCGAAAAATCGGAAATTGCCGATGTGACATCACCAGCAGTCGTAAAACGTCGCCAACTTACCAAGTCAGGACTCCGAGATCTTTCAATGTGTGAACTTGTTTGAGATTCTGGACATGTAGCCTCGGCGTACATCCCGGCATCTTTAATCTGCGGTTCTGAATTCGAAAGTGATTGACATTCCGGTGAACCTGCTGGTCTTCGCGAATGACTGACAGGATCACTTGCTGTATCAGAATTTGAGGAGATCTGTGCTTCGCTAAGGTTGGGTGAATTGGAACCTGGCGCTGATGCGTTGTTACTCATCTTTTGCTGGTGATAAACTGCAACATGCCCAAATTTTTTAATCAATAAGCTAGCTCGTGATCTAGAATTCTGTAGATTTTCTCTTTGATTTTGTTGTGACTCCTCTTTTTTGGCGGCTTGCATTTCGCACACGACAGTGCTGATAGAATTAAGCTTCAGCAACACATCATTCATAAAACTTTTAACTTTGCCTATTTCGTCAACGACAACCGCATTTTCACGTTGATTGGCAAGATACAGTTCATTTACTTTGGTAATTACGTTTTTCTCCATATTCTGTAGCCGTGTCGATACCTGATCTATTTTTACTTCCAAGTTTGTTTGACTTTTGTTGAATTGATCTTGCTTCTCCCCTAATTTGACCATTTCCTTTCTCATTTCTCCACAATTATGACATTGTACTCTTCGGACTTCGCACAGTTCAGTTTCATGGTGGATTCTATCTCTTTTATTGATCTTCATTTCACAACCATCATTGCTACACGTAACGGGTGCAAACCCACATTGATCAAGATGGTTTTGAAGTCTGCCAAGTTGAACCCGATCAGAACACCCTCGCTCGCTGTAGTTACATTTAATAGGCAACTCTGCAATACAATTCATTAACACTCTCGGAGGGGTACCTAATGTTTCGGGTGTTAATTCCTCCATACATTCAGGACATGTGTGGTAGTTCTCAAGATGTTGACCAATACATCCAAAGCAGAAGTAATGCTGATTGTTTCGACAACTCTTTGGCTCATTCAGAACGTTTAAGCAAATACTACATTTGAAATTCTCACTCACGGGGCTTTCAAAACGATTTTCATCAAAGCCGGCCTCTAGTATTGCTCTCGTTGCCATTCTTAACTGCAAAGTTAAAATATTAAACATTAAGCCCCTTCTATCTAACAAGAACTCCCCTGTCTAATAAACCTTTCTAGGCGGAA